TTCGAGCCCACGCAAACCGACACTAAGCATAGCAATCCACCAACACCAGCCACACGCAGGAACCAACGGGTGGGACGGCGCAGCAAGCAGGCAGAAGCCCACAGTGCGCCTGAAAGCAAAGCCCAGCCAGCCCCAAACAACGGCGCATCCCTCCGCACAGCCCAACACGCAGTGAGTACCACCACGGGCGGCGGGAAGCAGCGATGAGCCAACAACGGGGGAGCAATGAAAAGAAAACAATGAAGATTACTGTATTATTCAGTTGATGAGGTAGCCCAGAACCCTCAATCCAACTAGACAAGAAACAGCCGTTACCACACGCACACACTCCCAGGCCGCTTTCACTCCACAGCCACGCAGATCATCACCGCAAGCAGCAGCAGCAGCAGCGCACTCACGCAAGCTGAGCGACCGTCGCCGTCTGCATCTTGGTTGGTGTTTACTCCGCTGCTGATCCCGCTCAGTGCGAGTGTAGGATCAGTAGTGGCCGCATTCGATGGGACCTCCACTGGAGACGTCGCCTTCCCATCGGCACCTTCGTTGTTAGCAGTAGTGTCTTCCCCCGTGGTTGCCGCCCCTGATGGGGCATTCATTGCATCAGCAGCCGAAGCGGCACCTGACGCACTGTGTGTCTCGCCTGCTGCAATGGACTCCGCAGATTCTGCATCGGTATTAGGGGACTCATCGGTATTGTCCTTTTCTCCATGGCGGGCTGCGGCAGCACCACGATCAGGACTTGTGTTGGAAGGCGATCCATGTGTAATCCGCTCAGGAGAAGCCACATCCTGCGATGTAACGGCATGCTGATCCACATTCGATTGAGCATCGGGGACTCTTCCACTCGTCTGCTTCTTGTGTGGCAACTCTTCGGCCCTGTTCGTATCTTCTGCGTTTCCAGGCGCCGCTGACAAGGCTGAAGGATCGCCTGCTTTCCCTTCGCTCAGTCTTTGCTCTAACGCCCCTGCAGGAGAATCCTGCCGGTCTCTGTTACCCCCTCCACGTTGAGCCGCCGGGTCAACGGGATGTGCATCTGCCGGGGGTCCCTGCAGCGCATCTTGATGCTGTTCTCCCTCAGGTCCTTTCTGTGGTGGCAAAGGCGGCACATCCTGCCTGTTTTTATCTCGGTCCAAGTCGGTCCTGGCAGGCTCCTCGTTGAGATGTTCATGTTGCTCAGGGGGAACCGGAATGCTCTTCTGAGAGTTCTTCGTCTGCAGGACCCCTTTCTGAGTTTGTTTCGCAACGTTTTCGGCAGCTTCCTCAGCGGCTTCTACTGCCGCCACCATCTGTTGAGCTGCCTGAAATGCCTTCTCAGCGTTGTCAAATGCAGTTGTGGATTTATCCGCTGCAGCTTGAGCTTTTTCCAGTGTCTTGCCAGCGGAGTTCGCTACGACCTCTGCGTACCTCTCTGCTTCCTTCTTATTAAAACCAGTGTGCATTACATCCGCACTTTCTGTTCCGATACCCTCGACCAACTCAGAATGGTCTGCTGCCTTTTTCGCATTTGACTCCGCGTTTTCGGCGCTCTCCTGGGCCGCCATTGATTCGGTACATGAAGATTCGGCACCATTCTTAACCTCAGCCAGCGATGCCCGAGTGACCTCTGCGTGTTTAGACACTGTGTTTGCATACTCTGAGAGTGGACTATCGGGCAGATCCACTACTTTTGTAGCTTCCTCCATAACCGCCATAATAATCTCCGCTGCTGCAATCGCTTCGACCTTTACGATGTTTGAACTTTCTGACAATTTAATAAGAAGCTGCTTTGCTGTCCTAGATGCTGTCATGGCTTTCTGGGCTTTTTTTTTAACATCCGTAGCCTTATCATGCTCAACGCCAGCTTCAACAGTCTTTTTCAGGTCCTCAGCTTCACTTTGCGCGCTCCTCACAGCCTTTAACACCTCTTCCAAAGCATTCTTAGGTGTAGCAGCCTTCTTGTAGACCTCTTCCACGGATTCCTTTGCATTCTCAACATATTGCTTAACAATAGAAAGAGCTTCTTTCGCTTCGTTCTTTTTTCTAGGTGCTGCCCCAACAGCCGGCACAATCCCGCACAGCAGCAGGAGGGCAGCAACGAACAGCACGTGGCGCACCGCCAGCATGATACTGCAGTCAGAGTCCCTTCGACACAAAGGCCTACACAAGAATCAACAACAGAGGGCAGCCACGCACACAGTAACCACCAGTGAGAGAACAACAACACCACACAGCACCAACAGTAAACACCACACTCCACCCACACACAGCGGTCGCACCAACAGAAGCCCAGCACATGCACAGGGCCCCACCCCACGCAACAACCAACAACAAAACACTTAAGGGGCGGCGCACAGTCACGCACACAGCAAGGCCCAGGCACCAAGAGA